GGGTTGTGTGTATGTGTTTGTATAACTATTGTGTAAAGATACATTTGAGAAAATATGAGACAAGGAAACAAAGATACACCCTTTACCGTAATCTCACAGGAGGAGGTGGGTCCTCTAGTAATCTTTTTTTTAAAACAGAAACGTGTTCAAAGATCTGATTACATCGCCTCTTTGTGAGGTGAGAGTCCAGGATATTAAACTATAATAATATGCATCGCCTTGACATTTACGAAAATACCAATATACGTCGTTCACGCTGCACCAACATATTTTCCATAGTCTGTACTCAGAATGTTTGCATAAATAGGTGGGGGACTCTCGTGGTACAGAGTTACGGTGTTTGCCTCTCATTCAATAGATCACGTGTTCGAAACTTTACAACGACGGACAATTTTCTTCTCTTAAAAGATGTTCTCCTTTCCCCTCCTTTCCTGCTCTCTCACCATGTTCTGTCGTCTGCTTTCGTCTCATTTTCTGCCCTTCCCCCTCTTCTCGGCTCCATGGCTCTTTCTGCAGCCTTTCTACTGTTACTCTTGGTTCCTTCTTATTGCTGTCTTTCAGCCACACTTCTGATCTTAGGGTAGGTAAGATCTAACACTTAGCCTTCTGTGATAAGTGCGAAAAAATCTCGGAGGTCCCATGTGCAAGTTGCGGATGTTAAAGATCCCTTGGTGGCCCTAAAACAGGTAAAAGTAGGCTTCGGCCGCCACTCGGGCAAAATTCAAGATTAATTCCTCCCAAATTAAAAATGCTTAATTTGTCCTGTGCACTCATACGACCTTATGCAGTTGCGAGCGCAATAAAACATCTTTTCTTTGCTCTCATTCTTTCAACATTCTCTTTTATGTTCAAATGCGGGAACACCAAGACCTTATACGTCCGCTCATCTCAAGATAATAACAACACAATGTTAACCGACATTGGTGCACTCATTCGCTTGTTGTTTTGTACTTTATTTTCCCTGTTGTTTTTTTATGTTTGTTTTGTTATTTTCTGTTGCTGTTTTGTTTCATTTTTGTTTTTGTTTGTTTATTTGTTTTTAAATTGGGGAGACAGTGTGTTCTGTCATAAGGGTGTGATTTCTTTTTACTCATGATTAAAAGATATTTATATGTCATTATACTTGTGTTTCTCCAGGATGAGAATCTATCAGTAGTGATGTGATGACCCACCCAGTCAGTGGAGAGTGAGAGAGTGAGAGTGAGACATGGGAAACAGAGGAACTTCACTGACCACGACATGGGGAGGGGTGCTGATACTCACATGTGCCTTACTGGGCTCTCTGGAAGGTAAGAAGGGGAAAATGGGGGACAGAAAGAGAGAGAGAGAGAGAGAGAGAGAGAGAGAGAGAGAGAGAGAGAGAGAGA